GGTGCGTTTCTATCAGTCTTCCTACCATTATGACCAAATTGCGAAAACAAGGTCAAACAACTTCTATAATACCTTTTAGATGTTGTTTGACCTTGTTTTCGCAACTTGGTCATGTTGTTAGGACGACTTATAGGAATGCACCTAGTCCGGAATCCATTGTATGCATGATTATTTCCAAAGTTAAACCGTGGACGTGATACATTCCCAAACGTTTCACCGGCATCTGAGTCGGCATCGTCAGCGAGTATCGCCATTTTTAGTACTATACAACAGCTCATCAAAGAGACGATGCGGGCGAAACGTCTGGGAATGTACCAAGTCCACGGTACAAATCTGGAAATGATCATGCAGACAATGGACTCCGGACCAGGTGCGTTCCCCTAAGTCTTCCTACCAACATGACCAAGTTGCGAAAACAAGGTCAAACATCTTCTAAAAGATATTGTGTTGGTTTAACTTCGTTTTCGCATCCAGCTCGGCACGACAAGTAGACGCTGCTGGACGTAGCTAGTCCTGAGTCCTTTGCCATAGCATTCTTGGCGATTTGGTATATTGCCCTATGCCAAGTCAGTGTGCCGATGCTGGAAATCCTCATCAATATTGTTCCACAAAGAATGCAGACATACACGGACCACATCATGTTGGTCTTCATATTCTCGTTCTAAAAGGTATTGTGGCCCAGGTCATGCCCGAAATTGTGCCCTCATAGGCGCGTGTTTATGTTTAAAAAGAGTCCACATGAACGTCCAGAATGACACTGACGACGTGATCGCGACATGCACGCACGGGCGGTTTGTTTGTCTGTGTGTTGCATGCCTGTAAGGGACGGACAGAACGGCTATCGGCACGGCATGAGCACATGCCGACTGTGGGCAGCTTACCACTTTCGGGGGGACTCGAGAGAGGGTCGCGTCTAACCTGAGCCATAAAATCGCTTACCACCAAGCCTGTTTTGCTCGACCCTAAATCGGTTGTTATGACGACTGAACGGGAAAAGAGAAAAAGCAGACAAGTTGATCAACGTCTGTAGAGGAAAAGTAATTGTGTCGTTTGGTCGGAATTAAGGTATAGAGAAGTGGCATTGAAAAGCTTGAAAACGTCGTGACGAGTTGTGCTGTCTAATTTATGCGAGACGATGAAATGGTGCAAATAACTTTCTCCAAGGCCCTCTTGTACTTCACTTTTATAGTACAGAACTTGATCATTTGATATCAAAGTTACATTGCTTTTCTACCCATTATACAATAAATGGATTTGATTGCCGAGTCTTTCAACTGATATGAAAGTGCATAATGAAGGTCGATCTCACCAGAAGACGACGACCGATTCCGGTTGCACTGCAGCTTCCTGGCTTTCATATTGCGTTCAGTTTGACGCAGTAGAAATCCTTCCTCGTTTAAGACTAACACGAGCTAAACCTCCGTCCATCAATTGACGGATATCTTCAGAGCTCGAACTCATTCTTGTAAAAGTCTCAAGTTTGTACTGGATCAAGAAGACCGTTTGGTTTTATCTTGCCTCGTATATAACCTGATAACTAAAAAGCAAA